ATCCTCCCAGTCTTGGGTATCTAGATCAGGGACTACCACTGCCCAACTGTTCAAACATTTGGTAAGTAAGCTATGAGTGGGAGGGAACAGGGACTTGTATATAGTAGACAGGAGTTTAAGTAGACCGTCTTGTAACATAGTTTCTATATCCGAGGGAGCAAAGGAGAGGGGGTGCCCTCCCAAACTATGATTGATATGCATGTCTAAATTGTAGAAACCTAAAATAAAATGAGTATTTGGAAGGTGGTGCATAGCCTTTAACTCATCAAAGGGCCACAAGACCCCATTATGTACTATATCCCAATGATTTTGTCTAGGGATGCCCCGAAATTTCGGTGGCTGAAACGTTTCAGCCAAAAACGCCCCTTTCTGCCGTTGGCCGAAATGAAAAAAAGTACCGATACAGGTGCTGAAAAAACCTTGCCATCGCTCCTCACCACTGGCCTCTGCTCGGTAGTTCTCAGCCTTACTTGAGAAACCATCAATCCCGGCGCTGGGCATAGAGATGAGTGAAGGAAACATGGCCGCCACTCATCTCTATGCCCTTGGAGGACTGAAGCGATGTCACTTCCCTTTCCGGCCAATTTTTTTTTTTTTTTTTTTTTTAAAGCACCAGATCAATACTTTTTTTTTTTTGTTTTGTTTTTATCCAATGCTTTACATTGCAGAGGAGAGATGTGGGGTCCTATTGACCCCATATCTCTTCATAAAGAGGACCGTTCACTTATTATTTCTATCACAAGGGATGCATGCATATCTTGTGATAAGAATAAAAGTGATTAAAAAGTTTTTTTAAAGGGACAGTGCAAAAAAAAAAAAAGTTTAAAGTCCCCCCGTGCTCGCATGTAGTGGTGAACAGATATGTAGGCCATGCCCACATATGTAAATGGTGTTCAAACCACACACGTGAGGTATTGCAATGAACGTAAGAGCAATAATTCTCGCATTAGACTTCATCTGTAACCTTACACACTGCTAACCTGTAGAAATTTTTAAAGCATCACCCATGGAGATTTTTACGTACCCCAGTTTCACGCCATTCCACGAGCGTGAGCAATTTTAAAGTGTGACATGTTTTGGTATCTGTTTACTCGCCGTAACATCCTCTTTCATATTTTCCAAACAAATTGGGGTATATATTGGGTTTTTTTTTTTTTTTTTTGTTTTTTTTGATCAATGTATTTTTTTCCAAAAATTATATATTCATTTTTAAAAACTGCGCATTTCGGTTTTCGGCCAAGTGCATTTTGAATTTTCGGTTTCGGCACCAGAATTTTAATTTCAGTGCACCACTAGTTTTGACCTCATAGCGCGTCCACACTATCGGATCCTCATAACTAAGGAAGTGGGCTAGATGAGGGTTTCTCGGGAGAGGCGTCCCCCAAAATCCCCGCCCCCCCATGCGCTTCCATTCAAGCCCACAGCACAGATCTCGTAGATACAGTTTGGGAGTGGGGGGATTTGCAACCTCGGTGAACCAGGTGTGTTAAAACTTGCATTTAACTAGTTTGAGTCCGATCTCTGTACATGAGCCCTAAGCTCTCATTCAACCGTGCAGCAGCCCTTGCCACGCCTCTGAAAAGCGATCCACAGTGAGTGGTAAAACTTTTCCACCATCTGCTTTTACTGCCAACTGGCTGCCTTTGTGAATGTGAAGTATTCTTGTGCACAGAAATCCTTTATCGCCATAACATTAATGTGAATAGGGAACATATTTTCTATGAAATGAAGTAATGATTTCACCATAGTGGCTGTGATACCTCAAGAGTAATGGGGAATGCTGGTTTTCGGGTACATAGGGAAAACTGCTATTGAGAGTTTGATTGTCTAAGCTAGTCTTATTGACACAACATTTAAAGTTTCCTGTGAAAGAATAGCCTACAAGTACCATCAGCCATTAACGGCTTGTAGTTCTCAATGAAAACTGTACTCTGATGAATATTTTTTTTTTCACACAAATAGATTTTTGTTTTGGTGGCCATTGATCAGCACTGGTTTTTTTATTTTTTGCAATATAAACTAAAAAAGACCGAACGTTTTGGGGGAAAAATTTTTTTTTTTCTGCTTTGTCATAAAACATATCCAATAAAATCAAATTTTGTTATTTAATGTAGGCCAAAATGTATTCTGCTACATGTCTTTGGTAAAAAGAAAAAAAAATCCCAATAAGTGTATATTAATTGTCTTGTGTAAAAGTTATAGTCTACGAACTATAGTATATATATTTGAAAATTCTGATGTACTGATGGCCGATTCCGTTTCTTGATACCCTAAAATGCAAGGATGGTACAAATTCCCCCCCAAATTACCCTTTTTTTTTTTTTTTTTTTTTTTTTTTTGGAAAGTATACATTCTAAGGCATTTAGTAAGAGGCATTTTGAGTTTTTTCGAAGTTGTAATTTTTTGTCATAGGTTTTTTTGAAAGCGTAGAAATTTAATAATTTTTTTATTATTGTCACCTTTGCAGTACAACGTTTTCATATGACTGGTGACCGTATGTTAAAAAAGAATGAAATTTTTATTCAACGGACACAAAAACTGCTGGTGGAGGGTTGCGCTTCAGGCCCCTGAATCGGAGCAGGCGCATTGACATACATGCACATGATTTTGCCTGCACGTGCCATCCAGCTGTGTACTGCAGCTGGTCAGCAAGGGGTTAAATGTATTTGTAATAAGTTGGCTGCCCTTAAAGAATAAGTTCACCTTTTACACAAAAAATAACAAATGCACATTCTTTTTTTTTTTTTTTTTTTCCAGGTAAAAAAATGTTCATTATTATTTTTTGTGTTAGGCGCCTCTAACGCATTGCACCAGCGATCAGCAGATCGCTGATGCCATGCAGGTCTCTTGCAGATCGTCCATATATCTGCTTGCTCATACATCCTGTACAAGCAAGCCAATACTTCAGCAGGAAGAGTCAATTAATTACGACAGCGCCGTGGTAGTTCATTGAGGACTACAAGCCGAGTTCCTCTAAGGCTGTTGGCACCTGTAGTCCATTCATTCACAGAGGACTGTGAATGAATGAAACGGCCGTGTGGGGCTCCGGCTGTTTTTGAAAAGTGACAGCTAGTACAGTGAACTTCTCTCCGTACTTCTGTCATACAGAGAGGGGGACAGTGGCTGCAGGATCAGGAACATGTTACATGTTCCACCCTAACAGTGGGTTGAACATGTAACCTGTTCCCAAAGGTGAACTTATCCTTAAACGCAGTGCACGTCAACACGCGTGTTAATGCACCGGATTGCAGATGTGTAAATCCAGCCTAGAGGAATTTTATGTGGGGTTCTGATCCTTCTATTCTTGCTCTGCTGCATGGGTAGGCAACCTCAACACTCCAGCTGTGGGGAAACTACAAATCCTGTCTTCACCTCTGGGAGTCCTGCCCGTGGCTGTCAGTCTTGCAGTGCCTCATGGGATTTGTAATTGGAGGAGCTGGAGTGCTGAGGTTACCTTCACCTGCTATACTGTTCAGTATGTTCTGTAATGTATGTCATTTAGCATATTTGTACATTCGATCTCTACTGGCTGTATATGTGTCTTTGTCAGTTTGCACATCTGCATCATGAACTCCCTTGGTGAGTGACTGCACATCTAATGAGATGAGCCATATACCGGTCCCTGCAAGTGTCTGTGTGAGTCTTCACATGATCCCTGTGGACCCCCATGGATGCTAGGCCCCCAGGGTCTCGAATTTCCTTAAGTTGCAGGTGTTGATCTCTTTAGTATATGTTTGATGTGTGCAACCTTTTGTAAAATTAGCTTTTAATATAAAAAGAATCCGTTCATTCAGACAACTCTTATAATGAAAGTATTTGGCCTTTGTTAAATTAACATTACATAAGATGTTATGCAACACTGGCTGGCATCCAGTGATGGGGGGGGGGGGGGGGGGTATCCGGTGGCTAATAATAAATGCATTAAACAGTTAATGTGATGGCACATGATTCATCGTGAGTGCTAGTGCTCCCCTGAGACTGATTGTATTGGAGAGTTGGAGCCTCAGAAGCAAGTTCAGCACTGATGCATAAGCATTCGGTTAATCAGGGTTATCTGTGTTCAGATTTTCACTAAAGCTAACAACATTTCTGACATTGTGACATTTCTGTTCCTCCTCTGCTTCTTAGTTTCTCACTATTTCTCGTACAAAAGCTGGCATCCCTGCTACAGCCATCGGCCTAATTAGCACAGTTTAGTAATTTGGAACTGCTGTCAGAGACCATTATGTTAGTTGGAAACAGAGTGGATTAAATGAAATGCAGTGACCTCATCTCCTTTTTACGAGGCAGAGCATTTCAGTACAGAAACTATAGACCTGTCTTTCGTCTACTTCTGCAGTAAGCCTGTTCCTGGAAAATGTGATTTTGCTAAGGTAGCGGAGTGAGAGCCCAGCTTCTGCTGTCCTGTTTGCAGAGTGTTTGCTTCACGCTGCATATGTATGTTCAATACAGATGATGTTTTAAATGAGCACCTACAGTATATCATTTCCCCTTTAACGGAGAGACCATGTATATTACTAACACTCTTGCTGTGATGCTTGGTCCAATCATTATCTTTGGCTTCAGCTATTGGCTCAGAGCTATTGACTGCCTGACACCATCTGCAAAGCTGCAATCTCTACTCTTCAGATCCATTCAACACACGACTTGAGTCAGCGAACGGACTATCTCTGCTTTAAGCAGAATCCGATCTTGTTAACCTAATTTAGAATAAGTGATGCAGACAGCTCCATGCACTCTCTTTTCCGTTCTTGCACATTAGGTGGCCCAGCTGTGCTGCTCGTGAAACAAACAAAATAGGAGACATGTTTGGAATATCTTTATTACATCAAATCCTGGATCAAACTTGAAGCCAGTATTTCTACAAATTTAAAAATAGAGAAAAGGAAAAAAAAAAGGTCTTCTTGCTTCTTCCAATTAATTCTGAGTAGAAACTACATTTTGGATTTATTTATTGCAGAGTGTCTTGTTCATGCTCCGCTGCATGAACTAAAATACTGATGGTAGATGCCAAAGGAAAGAACATGAAATGTCTTACTTTTTTCTTGATGCTTCCAGAAACTGTCAAGAACCGGTCTAAAAAGGGCCCGAAAAAAGCGAGTTCCAGTAGTAGTAGCAGCAGCAGCAGCGGCAGCAGCAGCAAGTTGCCCCCAGTTTGCTATGAAATAATTACATTAAAAACCAGAAAGAAGAAGAAGATGGCTGCTGAGATTTTTCCTAGCAAGAAGCCAGCAAACAGCAATTCTAACTCCGTGCAGCAATATCACCAGCAAAATCTCAATAACAATAACACTATCCCTTCCCCAAACTGGCAAGGACTTTATGGGACCATCCGAGAAAGGTAAGGAGGTACTTTTCAGATGGTTTACTGTAATGTGTGCTGTAAAGTTTGTGTAATGTCTGTCTGGCTGACATGCTACAGGAAGCTGTGATGTGACTAAACTAATTGTGTGGAGATCAATTTTTGTTTAAATTTCTTTGGGAAAGAGTTCCTTTTGAAATCATTTTGCTTCTACAGAAATGCAGTTATGTTCAACAATGAGTTGATGGCAGATGTGCACTTTGTGGTTGGGCCATCTGGAGGAACACAACGCTTGCCCGGGCATAAGGTAAGATTTATTTATGTGATTTATAGTTGTTTGTTTTTGTTTGCACTTATACCTATGTAAACTTGTATTATTTTTAGTGGCAAAAAACAGTCTCCATTGTATGTGCAGAACATATACTGGCTTTTAATAGGAGATTGCAAGGTACAGTAACCCATAGCAACCAATGATGGAGGTTTTACTGGGTTGACTGTAGTGAACTAAAATTTGGTTGCTAAGAATTACTGCTTATGCACTGCTGTGTTTTAAACATAAAATACATTTATGTAACTTAAGGCAGGACTTTCTCATTTTTGTTTTTTCTTCTTATTGTAATTCTTCCTTGTATGTTATTGTAATGTTCCCAAGGCAAAGGTTGACACTATATAAAAAACGATAACGCTAGCAAAGCTTGTGTCACATGGATGTGTAACTTTCCTTTTGTGCTTCCCTTTGCCAGTATGTTCTAGCTGTCGGCAGTTCGGTATTCCATGCAATGTTTTATGGAGAGCTTGCTGAGGACAAAGATGAAATCCGTATACCAGATGTTGAACCTGCTGCTTTCCTTGCAATGCTGAAGTAAGCATTATCTCTGCATTATAATAATTTGTCTAGTTACATCAGAGCGAACTGCAGCATTACCGGCTTTATGATGATCAAGTAGACTTGCTGTTTATAGCAAATTAATGCTTGTATAAGTCTGGATGTGTTGGGGTTTAGTAATAACAATGTTCTAAAGGAGCATGTAATAAATAAAAACTATATGTATGCAGAGCATGTATAAACGTAGATCCGATTTATATGAGAGCAGTTTGGTCTGACATATCTGTTCTGGCAATGTTAAGCTAAGTGTTGAGCAGATGTAACTGGCAGTTTTCTAAAGCAAATGTTTGGTTTTTTTTTTGTTTTTTGTTTTAAGTTTCAATGAGAAGTAGAATCTGTGCAGCTTTGGAAATCAAATATTGATGTGTGGCAGCCCTGTAGTGTGGGTTTTGATCACTTTCTGTGGCTGTTAGCATATGATTTATTGGTCAAGTGATGACAAGTGGACTGATGTACAAATCGGGAGTTATCTTATTTGGCATATTTCAGTGATTAATTCAATTTCTATTTGAAGATTCTGCCTACAAAACCACAAATCATTAATACAAATGAATATCTCCGTGGATTGCAGAAATCGGTATTTGACCAATTTGTCATAGACTAGATTTTTCAGATACCTACCAGTGTGCTGGTCATCTTTTGTAATTCCATAATACTGTACTGTCATAAACTGTGTTGGGAATGAGGGTCATACATATATTCCTAAAAGCTGGGGTCAATCCAAATGTTCATCTTACAGAGAGAGAACCATTAATAAGGACTGCTCTTCTTCTTCCTTTTTTCTTTTTCTTTTTGCTGAGATTGCTCCACCATAACCCCCCTCCCAATACAACTGTGTGCTTTCTATATTGCTAATCATGTTGCCTATTCCGCATTTGTTTACCAATGTTAAGTGTAGTTTTGGCAAACATATAAATATTTCTAGCTCGCATATCAATGTAGAGCTGTTGTAAGCAGCTCAACACACAAACGTGAAAGTGCAATGAAATGGTGCATGAAACTAGATCCCTGAGCACAGAGCATGCAGAAGGGAAGCCAAGGCAGAGCTACAGTTCAAAGGGTGAGCCTTGCAATACAAATCAGTTCTCACTTCAGTTGTGAAAGCATGGCAGAAATCCCTGCATCGTTTCTCAAACTCATCACTTTCTTCTACCACAATTATTGTGATGAAGTAGGAAAGCTTAAGGCTTTTTGTTGGAAGGTCATTGCTGTACATCAGGAATACAACTTTTTATGTCTTGGTACTGCATGTTCTAGGTAGTTCAAAGAGCAGTAGAGTATCCTGGAGCAAGCAAGCGATTAGATCCCTTTTTTTTTTTTTTTATCAGAAGAGGGAAAGGTAAAAATCTAATTGAATGTGCAGATCAGTAGCCTAAGCTTGACATATTCTATAGGTGAAATAATTGGCTAATGTTGTGCCAACATTTAGTGTCAAATGCATCATCAACACAGTCTGCAATATTCTGCTTAAAAATATATATATATATATCCAGAATTATGTATTTTTATTTCTTAGCAAATAATCATCCTTGCTTTTCTGTTGTACTCACAAATACATGTTTTTATTCTATGTTGTGTCCCTCCATTTTGGTAAGTTTAACAGGTTACAACACACTTATTTAAAAAAAGTTAGTCTGCCCAAAATTAAAAACCGTATTATTTGATCAATACCCACTAGCTTCTACCATCTCTCCAAATCTACAATGCAGTGTCCATACGTACAGATTCTGCTCCCTTCATTTTGGGAGTCTTGCTATATTGTTTGCAGTACATAGTAAATGGGAAACGCAGGGAAACCAAACTCTTTTGTCAATCATTGCATGGGGGAGTTCTGGGGACTCCTTCACCATCTGCATCTCTGTGAGATAGATGAGGGAAATCTTAAGCCTGGTAGCATCCACCCAAAATTGAAATATGACTTTTCAGTCAACTGTATGTTTTATAAGGCAGTAACATTTTTAAATAACTGTATAACACCCAGTCAAATTCGCATTTTCAAGGTTCATAGCAATGAAAGGTGTTTTTGTTGCTTGCTTTGTTTCTGCTGTGTGCCCAGTGCTCTGTGTCATATGCTGTGTATATGGAAAAGGCTATGATGGGAAGTCTTACAAATAGGGCAGATGATGACCAGATATGTATACGTCTGCAGCACTTCGCTCACTGAAAGCTTGATCATTCCAAAACATTCAGTCATTTTATATATGCAAATTTAATGATGTGCATATAGCTCGGAGTTCAAGTATTCATAAGTGCAGTGTTTTTTTTTTCATTGATGTGATATTTTACCCTTTTTTCCCCCATAGATACTTGTATTGCGATGAGATAGATTTGGCTGCTGACACCGTCCTGGCAACTCTGTATGCTGCTAAAAAATATATCGTCCCGCATCTCGCCAGAGCATGTGTTAACTTCCTAGAGACCAGTTTAAGTGCTAAGAATGCCTGTGTTCTCCTGTCTCAAAGCTGCTTGTTTGAAGAACCCGATCTGACCCAGAGGTGCTGGGAAGTGATTGATGCACAAGCAGAACTGGCTTTGAAAAGCGAAGGCTTTTGCGACATCGACTTCCAGACACTTGAAAGTATCCTTAAAAGAGAGACTTTAAATGCCAAAGAAATTTTCGTCTTTGAGGCGGCACTCTGTTGGGCAGAAGTAGAATGTCAACGCCAAGATCTCCCTCCCACCATAGAGAACAAGAGGAAGGTTTTGGGCAAAGCTCTTTACTTAATTCGTATCCCAACCATGGCCCTGGATGAACTTTGCCAATGGTGCTGCACAGTCTGGAGTGTTGACTTTAAATGAGACTAATGATATCTTTCTCTGGTATACGGCTGCTAAGAAACCAGAACTGGAGTTTGTAAGCAATCCCAGGAAGGGGCTTGTCCCTCAGAGATGCCATCGCTTCCAGTCCTGTGCCTATCGCAGCAATCAGTGGCGATACCGAGGTCGGTGCGACAGCATCCAGTTTGCTGTTGATAAAAGAGTATTCATCGCGGGCTTCGGCCTTTACGGCTCCAGCTGCGGCTCAGCAGAGTATAGCGCCAAGATTGAACTTAAGCGCCAGGGGGTGATCTTGGGGCAGAACCTAAGTAAATATTTTTCGGATGGATCCAGCAATACATTCCCTGTTTGGTTTGAATATCCCGTGCAGATTGAACCCGATACTTTCTACACAGCCAGTGTGGTCTTGGACGGCAATGAATTGAGTTATTTTGGACAGGAAGGAATGACTGAAGTGCAGTGTGGAAAAGTAACAGTGCAGTTTCAGTGTTCCTCAGACAGCACAAACGGCACTGGGGTGCAAGGAGGACAGATACCCGAACTTATTTTCTATGCCTAACCGCATACTTTTCTAGGGTCTGGGGGACAAAGTGCAGCTCTTAGAGTACGGGAACGTATAGAATGTGATTTACACATATATCAGAATTCTGACTGCATCTAGGCTACCAGTTTGGCATAGATTACTGCTGTATAAAAAGACTGTAAATTATGGCACTTTCTAAAATAGTTTCTAAAAAATGTCATTAACAAATCCTGCTTAATACAACAGAAAAGATATTTTGCTAAATACATCATAAATTAAGCTTGTAAGTACTTAGAGTTTATATCAGATGTATCTTTTTATCTTAAATCCTATATTCCTTTAATTTTAAATTCCACTACATATATAGTAATGAGATATATATTATTCGTAATTCACAGCAACCACTCAAATTTCACTTTAAAATACGCCTGTCACATAAGTAAGCGTAAGCTATTCAAATTGGAAGAGAAGCCAGCAGGCATCAGTGTAAACTTCCTAGGCTTGGCCACGGTGCAGTGGTATCAAGTTGTTTGGTGGGGACGTGCTCCAGCGCTGGCCATCCGTAAAGCTTGGGACTTCCATGGTGTAGGATAGAGGAATATTAAAGCTGAACTCTAGGCAAATGGCTAAACCACGCATACAAAGACATATATGGAAGCTGTTTTACCTGCCAACTGGTTTGTTTCCAACACAGCCGTGCAGCAGAGCCCTGTCTGAAAGCAGACCAAATTTTTATATAATGCAGCTAAGTAAAACCTACAGGTCTTGTCCCTCTCTCAGCCTGTTTAATGCAGATTTCTTTTGCCACTCCCTCTACATATCAGCATGTTCTTTGTTATCACATGAGCAC